CCGGTAGTAAGTCGGACCTGTTCCCAGTGAGGGTTGGACTCCGCCAGGGCTGCCCTTTGTCACCGGTTCTGTTCATCACTTTTATGGACAGAATTTCTAGACGCAGCCGTGGTGTGGAGTGTGTCGAGTTTGGTGGCAGGAGAATCTCGTCTCTGCTTTTTGCGGATGATGTGGTCCTCCTAGCTTCATCCAGCTCTGGCCTTCAGCTCCTGCTGGGTAGGTTCGCGGCCGAATGTGAAGCGGCTGGGATGAGGATCAGCACCTCCAAATCTGAGACCATGGTTCTCGGCCGGAAAAGGGTGGCTTGCCACCTCCGGGTCGGGGGAGAGGTCCTACCTCAAGTGGAGGAGTTTAAGTATCTCGGGTTCTTGTTCACGAGTGAGGGTAGGAGGGATCGGGAGATCGACAGGCGGATTGGTTCGGCGTCTGCAGTGATGCGGACGCTGAGCCGATCTGTCATGGGGAAGAGGGAGCTGAGCCAGAAAGCCAGGCTCTCAATTTACCGGTCGATCTACGTCCCAGTCCTCGCCTATGGTCATGAGCTTTGGGTAATGACCGAAAGAACGAGATCGCGGATACAAGCGGCCGAAATGGGTTTCCTCCGTAGGGTGGCCGGGCTCAGCCTTGGAGATGGGGTGAGGAGCTCGGACATTCGGGAGGGACTCGGAGTGGAGCCGCTGCTCCTCCGGATCGAAAGGAGCCAGTTGAGGTGGTTTGGGCATCTGGTCAGGATGCCTCCTGGACGCCTCCCCGGGGAGGTGTTTCGGGCATGTCCTGCCGGCAGAAGGCCCCCGGGTCGACCCAGGACACGTTGGAGAGGTTACATCTCCAATCTGGTCCGGGAACGCCTTGGGGTCCTGCCGGAGGAGCTGGTGGACAAGGCCGGGGAGAGGACGGCCTGGAGCTCCCTAGTTGGGATGCTGCCCCCGCGACCCGGACCCGGATAAGCGGAGGAAGACGACGACGACAAATTATTGTCCAGCCCTACTTCAGCTCATCTTCACTAAATACATTCTTGACATTTTCATTGAATTTTTGTAAAAATATTAGGAATAGAGCTTGTTTATTTTTCTGACATGGAGACAGGGGGCTGCCATCTTGGAATCATGTGAGCGGAGAATGCACTTTGATTGGCCACTAGAATATTTCAGGTCAAACCGGTTTGATTTTCACCTCAGCAAAGCCATAGTGAGGCAGACAACTCTGAAAATTGTTTGAGTCGTGTAGAAATCCGTGGTGCCCTTCCTAAGGGCCACAAGTTGGTAAACAAAAGCAGGCGTCAGCAGTGTTGCTTTTGGAGACTGACATGAAGCACACAGTTTCCTACTCTCAGTGAGCAGCTGTGCTGCCGTGGGTTCCTCTACCTTCCAAGAGTGTTCACAGCTAAATTCAGTCGTCCTCACGCGCCCACGGCTGATCTGAACTGCAGACAGAGAAGATGTTTACCCAAGCCCCCATAATTCGGGTCTGAAAATGAAGCCAGCACGGAAGTGAAAAAATTTGCAGTCCCACCCTCATCCACTAGGGGCTGGTGTCAGAAGCGAGCAAATCTTCATTGACTCCCATGTTAAAAATACCAATTTCACAGCAGAAATAAACATGTTTACAGCCTGGTTCCAAAACATGTTTTAGGTTTAATAGATCTAGTTTACACTCAGGACAATGAGGGGGGTGAATTTTTTGTCACTCTTCTGTTTAAGTGTATTAAGTGCCCTAAAATTCGATGCTTTTATAACTTTGACACAGAGCTGCTACGTAGTACTCTACTGGTTTACGTAGTATCTTTCTCTTTAGCCATTGGCTAAAATGTATTCATAATGACTCAAACTCTATGTTTTAAGCTGAAGGTGGTGCTATACTGTGGTATTTAGGCAGAATTTTTAATTTTTAAAGAAAATGCACCAAAATGCTAAAATAATAAATACACACATTTAAAACACTATTAGACACTCATTTATACAGTTCATCAGCAAAAAAAAGTTAATTTAGACGTTACTTGCTCTTTAACATAACACGTGTGACAGCCCCATCTAGTTGACAGTTTTTATTTTTGCGCAGTAATGTAGTTGACGCCCATTTCTCGTTATCAAGCTGAACTCCTCAATATATCGTGATATTGATTTTAGTCCGTATCGCCCTGCCCCATCTCAAAGTATTGCAGCTCAAGGCAAAGTGTACTTCAAAAACCCAGCATAAAACAGTCTGATCTGAGATGTTTCTGTGACTACTTGCCATTTAAAACCATTTTTCATTAGTTTCAAGGGTATTTTTTTATTTCTTGTCCTGCCTCGTTATTTGTCACTATAGACCGCTAACTGTGCTAGCTAACAACAGAAACCTGAACAAGCCATAGATGTTTGTCTGACTATCTGAGGACACAAGCTCACCTGTAGATGACATTTTCGCCACATCAAACGGGCAGAGTTACCCACTGGTCTTTTGTGAGGGTTCAGGTGGTGAGCAGACAGCCTCTTGAATCTCTGCAGTAATGAGTGACAAGGCAGTGCCAGCGCAGGTGGAACGCCGCAGGAATTCTGTGACCACAAACCTTTGAACATTAGTAGTGTGTGTGTGTGTGTGTGTGTGTGTGTGTGTGTGTGTGTGTGTGTGTGTGTGTGTGTGTGTGTGTGTAATGGAGTGTGTGAGAACATGAGAATGCCTTTGAGGTTCAGATCGTGGCAGAAGTTTTGCAGTGATAATGGGTGATTGAGTTTGGCGAAGGTCTGAGAGTTTGGATTGAAACTTGGGGAGAGACTGTTCAGTATAATTATAGGTGTCTGTTACTGCCGTCTATCACTGAATTTTTCAAAGACCTGTCTGTGTAATACATTTGCACTCATATTTTCCTTGGCATGAACATTCTGAATATTGTTTTTTTGAAAAATCTACAGAATTTGTGTTAAAGCCGGTCAACTGGCTATCAACTGTTGAGTGGCGTCAATAACCAGTTAAAGACATTGTTTAAAACATGCATCCCTAGTCTGTGTCTAAGTTAATGTATGCTATTGGCTAATGCTGAAAGGTGCTCAATTGAAATGGCATGGGGGCTCTACTGGAAGAGGGGTGGTGTTAGCAAAAAAATTGTACATATTGCCTAGAGCTGAGGAAATTAATGTAATAATCAATACATCGAGATGTGGACATAAATTATTATTAATCAAATCAATCAATTAATCGATTATTATTTAATGCATTTTTAAAAAACCGTGGCATGGATATGATTCTAAAGTAGTGCTGCCACGATTACTCGACAAACAAAACAGTTAACATGTAATGTAATAGTCGACAAAGTTTATTGCATGAAACAGTTTTTTTTTTGTTTTATCTCGCCTGCTGCCTGCAGCAGGACTGCTGCTTTCTGCCTTTCTGCTCGAGGCACATGCGCAGTAGTGGCTATCCGATTCAGCTGTCATGTCACTGGAAAAAAACTCTGCAACATAACTCAAAGATTTGGGAGCATTTTACAAAGATAAAAGAGAAGCATGTATAGTGCAACACCTGCAAAGTACTTTCCTTTCACGGGAGCACAACGGTGATGCACGTAAAAAGGAAGCTCGTTGTGGTGGTGATTGAAGCAGGACAGTAGCTTCTGCAAGCTAATTACCTCTTGTTAGCTGCTAACGTCAACAGGTAGTCATTTGTATAGCTGTAGCAACAACAGTAGTGATGGTGATTTTAGTACCTTTAGCACACATATGTCACGTATTTGCTCTAACGTTATAAACGCTAATGATTTATTGTATCCTGCTACGTTAAAGTGTTTTTAAAAAGCGCTCCTCTTCAACAGATGAGTTTGTTACCAAGCCAACATGCGCCCCTCGGAAAGCAAACGTTCAGACTTTGGCAATTTTTAACATGTTGGTGACGGACGTGAGACACCTGTTGCTTGATAAGCTATTGTCTTGTCTTTATTTTTAGATTGCACATAACAGATCACACTTCAAATTAGAAGCTAATGATGGGTATATTAAAGCATCCTGGTGCAATAAGTTATACTTTTATGTGTGACAAGATAATTAAAATAATCTTTTGTGGCAGCCCTATTCTAAAGCTGCACCAAATACATTAAAAGCTAATGTATGGGCCCATTATGGATTTTATCAACTAGATCGAAAGCAAGAATTGGACCTGCCCTATAAGTTTTCAGTATTTTTCAAGATCCTGTTAGCATCTGCAGAGCATGTTTCTCCAACAGCCTGAGATGTGGCTGTTAAATGAGCAAACAGATTTTTTTCTTTTATTATGTTAAATCTTCATTTGTGCTCAAAATTTGTTTTGCACTTTAACATTGTCCTAAGGTCTGTTGTTAATGAAGAACTTTTTGGGGATGATATGTTGTGTCAGAGAAGTTTTGAATCATTAACATGATAATCTTAATTGAATCGAATCGAGATTCAGACTTCTAGTATTGCCTACATTATATCACAGTACAGGGTAAGACTAACACTTGTACAGGTTTCTAAAAAATCCTACATAACTCCGGAAAGGGGAAACCTCCAGATTGTAGCTTTAAGTGACATTTACAAACAGATGAAACCATATTGTGACAAAGCTTGTAACAATACCTGTAATTATCTGGGAAAAAAAAAATTGGGAAAATTTGAGTTGCCATGTTCAGACTAAAACTCTTGAGTTTATTTTGTCAGATAGAAATTATATGATCAGTTGTCTTACCTGTTGCAAATTCCTCTTTGAAACACTTCTGTGATGAGAATTGGTTAAGCTCTGATAGCCTAGTCTATCTAAACCTTTACACCCTTGTAAACTCTGCATTGCACTTTTCTGGAGGTGTCCCAGGCTGCACAGAAAGGCTAAATTTAGTTGGTTCAACTAGCACCTGTAAGTAATCGTAATGTTTACTGTGTTAAGTAAAATTCACGTCAACATAAAATTAGCAAAATAACTTTTGTGTGAACACCTATGAAACCTTTTGTCTTAGAATAGTCAAAGCTGTTGGGAGTGTGTAGATGCATTTTGAACAAGTTTCTTTTTCTCCACAGGGACCTGCGGAGTAACATAATCAGCCAGATTGAGTCGGGAGCTTTTTTGGGTTTACCAGCATTAAAGAAACTGTGAGTATTGTTGGAGCTTCTGTAACTTTGCTGATGTTTTTACGTTTTGATTTGATTCTATTTCTCTTGAATTTACCAATCGCATAATATTATTTCCTGATTTTTGTGTAGTTTTGAGTCTTTCCTTTGCTGTTTTACTGTAACAATTTATTAGTGTGTAATTTTATTAAGAGAACGTGGTTATGGTTTGAAAAGCGTTTATTCAATTCAATTCAAGTTTATTTATATAGCGCCAAATCACGACAAGAGTTGTCTCAAGGCACTTCACAAAGTAAACATTTCAATACATTTCAGTTCATTAAGCCAATGAGTAAAAAGTTCCATATATAAGGAACCCAGCAAATTGCATCGAGTCACTGACTAGTGTCAGTGTCTTTACAGCAATTCTCATTCTAAGCCAGCATGCAGCAAAAGTGGAAAGGAAAACTCCCTTTTAACAAGAAGAAACCTCCACAGGATCCTGGCTCAGTATAAGCAGCCAATAGTATGTCATCCAGCAGTCTGAACCTATAGCAGCAGCATAACTACAGAGATAACTCTGGATAACCTAGCCTTTTAGATGGAGGCATGTCGGAGGCAGGGCAAGGGAGAGCCGTCTTTACCGACTGTATTCTCCACTGCACACTCTACCTCCCTCTATTCCCCCACTTGTCCAGATATGGGCTAACATCTGAATTTATCTATTGGCCCTATCAAATAAAAATGTATTATGCCTATTCTTAAAAGTTAACAAAAAGTGTCTGCCTCACGAACTAAAGCTGGGAGCTGGTTCCACAAGACAGGAGCCTGATAGCTAAAAGATCTGCCTCCCATCCTGTTTTCAAATATTCTAGGAACCACCAGTAAACTAGCAGTCTGAGACCTAGTCCACACGTAGCCGGGGTTTTTTAAAAACGAATATCCGCCCCGCCAAAAAGTTGCATCCACACCACCGTGTTTTAAAAACAAACTCTGTCCACACGTACCCGGATAAATACGTTGTTAAGGACATGCCAGACCTGTAGGCGGCAGTACTCCCCCGTTCTTAACCTCGTCCTTTGTCTGTGGTTTTCCGCAAGGAGCAGTAATTCCGCTTGCAAAAACAAACAAGCAGAAAGTGCTTGGACAATTGATAAAGCAAGCACAGCTCTGAGGGCTTCCATGCTGTCGGCTAGTGTAAACACAGGTCGCACACGTGATGTCAGCATTTTTTTGTCGCGGAAAGTAACGTTGCGGACCTTAAAACTCCGGTTTTGTCCGTCCACACGCAGACACCCAAAACGGAGAAAACGCAGATCTTCACTTTGGCCGGAGTTTTTTAAAAGATCCGTTTTCGTGTGAAAAAACTCAGTTTTCGTGTGGATGACAGGCCAAAACGTAGAAAAATATCTACGTTTTGGCAGATCGCCGGCTACGTGTGGACAGGGCCTGAGAGCGAAGTGCTCTGTTAGGAACATATAGGTCACTGATGTATGATGGAGTTTGTTTATTAAGAGCTTTATATGTGAGAAGGAGGATCTTAAAATCGTTTATGAATTTAACAAGAAACCAATGTAAGGAAGCTAAGACAGAAGAGATATTATACATCTTAATTCTCATCAGAACTCTAGCTGCAGTATTTGGAACAAGCTGAATACTTAACTACATTCTGTGGACTTCCTGATAATAATGAATTACAGGAATCCAGTCTTGATGTAATAAATGCATGAACTAGCATTTCAGCATCACTCCTGAAAAGGATGTTTCTAATCTTAGCAATATTCCGAAGGTGGAAGAGGAAAATCCTACAAACCTGTTTAATGTAGGATTTGAATGACATGTCCTGGTCAAAGATGGCACTAAGGTTCCTTACTTTGTTGAGATAAATTTAATGCCGTTCAGGTCACGTGACTGACTAAGCGGTTCCCTTTTCTGAAGTTCCGGTCCAAAGATGAGAACTTCAGTCTTGTCTTGATTTTAAAGCAGAAACTTTTGAGTCATCCAAGGGAATAAATGGTTCAGAGCTATGATTCTGTGTAAGTTTGGCAGCTGTACTGAAAATAAATTTAGGATTATTCTTAAGTTATTTTTATTAAATAGATGGTTAATAGCATTCGGTGAAAGCTAGTAATGGTGCTTTCATATTATTGTCAATGTCTCAAATGTGTTCAAAGCAGTGCTGTGGGCGAAAATGCCTTGTTGATGCTAGTGGTCAAAGGAGAATGGGTCGATTGATTCAAGCTGATAAAATAGTAACTTTGACTGAAATAACCACTTGTTACAACCGAGGAATGCAGCAAAACATTTGTGAAGCCCTAACATGCACAGCCTTGAGGCGGATGGGCTAGGGTTAGGGTTACTGGGCTGGACCTATTAAACACGTTCTACACCCCTGCTTAGTAGACTTAATGAAGTATTTTTAAGCCAGTATAAAAATGACTGAAACCAGGGTGTCCGCGGGGTTTTAAAAAGTATTAAAAAGTGATAAATAAAAATAGTCAAATTTAAGGCCATTAAAAGTGTTAAATTTGGTCTCAGAGGTATTATTTTTTCCAAATTAGGTATTATTTTTTTCAGACTATCAGATGTCGTATTCTGAACATCGACATAGAAATATATTCCGAATGAAATGTTTTGAACGATTATAAAAACAAAACAAGCCGATTATTTGCTCCTCCCACTTGCGCTGCCCTGAGTTGCAAATGAAGCGCTCCTCCACAGTGTTGACAACTTGGCGACTTTGACGCTATTTCTAGCAGCTTTTCAGACCCCCTTATTGACTTTTTAAATCTTAAAAGTACCTAGCGAACACCTCAGAAACATCTCTGGTAACCCTTAGCTACTTTCTGGATAACTGTCGTCGACATTTCCTGCAGGTTAGCTAAACACTCCGCCTGCGCTCCGGACCGTTCTTCAGGACATTAGGAAAGGGAATGATGTAGCGATGTGTCGGTCGCTAAAGAAACGACTCTCGGAGCTGGCTCCCTGTTGGATTAACCAGAGTGTGACACACACCATACCTGCGGACTCCTGAGCCGCTAAAAACGGCTAAATGTGCGCGTGCGGCGTGCTAAACATATGTGCAGCTTGCCCCTGATTGCTGAGACCGGGTTGGGGGGTGGGGGGTGCAGCTGTGGTTGGGACAATTATAACATTAACTGATGGACCTGTAAATAAATAGTTTATAAATAAGGCAGAAATAAGTTCCTCGTGCTGATAAATAATAACTAATCTCTCTGAGGACACGGTGCTAGTGCACTCTCCTACAGCACCTTGACACGACTCAATAAATGTTATGCAAAATTTAGTGAACATCAATTTGCATGTATTTGTTATAAATGCCACTGAATAATTCTTGCTGTCAGTATTTGCAAGATATTGGTATTTGGGTCTGTACTGGTTAGACTTACATGAGTTAAACCAAGGTCTACAGCCCTTGGGTTATAAACTATGAGCTATAAGTATATTGGTCTTTTTATACTGGGAATCAGGAGTTATTTTAGTGATCATCTTGCTTCTTATTTTTGTCCTGATTGTGCCCTGAGCAATTTTATGACAGAAAAAAAAAATCTACATAAATTGAAAAATCGTCTTAAATAATCGAGATCTCAATTTCAGTCACAATAATCGTGATTATTGTTTTTGCCAAAATCGAGCAGCCCTACTTTAGCATATCCGGTCACATAATGATGATGTCATATTAAGTGGTCGTTCTGCATCATTTCAGGCCTCGTGGTCAACTGTCTGAACTGCTGAACAGAAGTGCCTGGCTTATTTTCTAAGTAAAATAAATATGTGCAATACGTTGTCAACATCAGTGAGTCTCTAAGTCTATTCTTTTTGTATGTTATATATGTTAAAATATGTGTAAATAGGTCGCTGATTAACACTTGCAATTTAGTGTTGTGATGGTTTTAAAAAAATTCTGAAGGTAGTAAAAAAAAGTATTAAAAAGTAGTAAATTTTACTTAAGGATTGCTGTATATACCCTGTGAAACACAAATTTACATATTTGGCATTATTGACCAATATCTTTCATTTAATTTATTTGTTAAGAACATCAAGATGCATTACAGTGAACATTATAATAAAGTACATTTTTCTAGTGCAGAGAGGAGACAACCCATAGAAGCACTGATTTGATCTGATTCCAGAGAAGAATAGAACAGGTCAGATGCATCTAATAAATAAAATTACTAACATAAACTCAGGGATCCGTTTCTTTGCTTCATTGTTCTGGTGCTGAAAACATCACTAATGCGGATCAAAGGAGATACACAGATGAATGCACCTCTTATTATTTGGAAATTAGTGGGTGTGCTTTACATCAATACATAATTTTAAATCTGAAATTGATATGGATTGATCAGAAGTTGCTATGTGTGTGGTTTATTTGAAAACTATTTACAGAGCAGCCTCAGAATTGAGATTAAATATTTTTGATCACAATAGTAAAGAAACTATTACAGAACAAGTTTTTCAATAAAATCAGAACATTAATATTTAAGTGCCTGAATTAATGCATCTGAACTCATGCAGTAGGAACTAGGAAATATGAAATACTAGAACCATTTTATTCTAATTTGATTAAACTGATTTTTTCCTAACGTTGTTGGCATTTTCCCCACACACAGTTAAACAAAACAATGTTGATTAAAGTGTGTGTGTGTGTGCGCGTGCGTGCGTGTGTGTGTGTGCACGTGTGTGTGAGATAGAGAGGGAGAGAGTTAAAATAATTTTAAAAAACCCGACCGGAGCGGAGGCAGTGACCAACGCATGCATGAGCCGTTTTCAGCCCTGTCTTGTCAAATGCACGACGTACGTTACAAAAAAAGTAACTTTAAATATTCAACCGAAAAAGAGGCGAGCCGAAGAAAACCTAGGGAGTGCTAAAGAAACGTGAGCAACAATGAAGCAAGCAGAACTGAGCTTCTGGCTGCAGAGTTTTGTGTGTAGAGAGGGGCGGGCGCTCTATGTGATTGGCCAATCACAGAGCGTGAAGGCAGTCAGTTACCCAATGAGGATTTTCCTTCAGCACGATT